GGTGGCAATGTGTCTAGAATTCTTAGATGAGTTAAGAGAAACAAATGCAAGAAACTAGGAGTAAATCACGGCAGGATGAGCAGGGTTAAGCCTGGCCCAGGACGAGCCTCAAGAGTGCTGCTTTCTCCTGAGGCCCCAGCCCTACTTTCGTACGCTCTGCAGCCCACACTACCCTTGAAAGCAAACAGGGAGATGGCAGAACTGCTGGGCTGGCAACACAACCTGGAATCTTTCAGCGCTACAATCGGAGGTGCTGATCAGAGCTCTGCGTCACTTCTCGGGGTGATGGATGGTATGAGGTAAGGCACAGAGAACCGGACTTGTTTCTCTTTCCCCCAAACAACTGTTTCATGGAAGATGAAGAGAACTTAGCTCTACTTTCTCTCTTGGTTTTTCGCAGACTCACTGGCGTAGACACCTAAAGATGTATGCGGGAGCATGCTTTTTGGGGCCTTCATACAGATTCCAGCAAGTGCTAAGAATTTTGGGGTAGCATTTCCATGACTGTCGGCCTCTCTTCCTGTGTTGCATTGGTTTGCTGTCTGGCTGAAGGCAGGAGCAGGAAGAGCGCACAGTCAGCAAGACACTGCCTGGAGCAGAAGCCAGGAAGGAGGGTTTGTCCAAGGCCTTCAGACTCAGCTCTGCTACCAATTTGTCGGAAAAAAATCATTTGTGCCAATTATACCCTGGTTAGTAAAGGGTTGTCCTGTCTGGGATGCAAGTACAGAAGCCAATTGCAAGGACAGGTGATCAATGAAGGTGACACATTACTTATGCCTCCAATTCTTCTCGGTCCTCAATTTGCTTTCTGAGAAACAGAGAAAATAAATGTACTTGCCTTGCTAATGGGTATGTGGTCAAGACTGGGCAATTTACACAGAGCACGTTAGTTCCAAGATGAAATGCACTGAGATATTAGGATTAGTCTCTGCTTTAATGAGTTTTTGACTTGCAGGTTTGAAAAAATTTTGTTCTTTTCTGCACTTCTCCACAAACACAAAACAATGACTTAATGGTAAAACAACAATGAAAAGAAACAAAGCCCTTCTCCTGTCTATGCTGGTCAAAAGGGTACTTCCCCTGGCCTGCAATAATCTTTTCTCCCATGAAGTTATTATCTGTATTCACAGCTCACATTCCACTGAAATGCACGGGGTCCAGGTAAATGGGTGCTTATGCTTAGTGTCTACTCTGATCAGCTGGGCATCCATGCTCTTTGGTTGGTGCCTGTGTGTGTGTCCACACACCTTAGGGTGACTCCCCCCAGCCCCCTGAATCATGTTCTTGTATAATCCCTTCCCCTCGAGGGCAGAACTTGTGACCTGCTTCAAACCAGTAGGACAGGGCAAAGGTGATGGGACACCTGGTTATCACTGCTAACTGTTTGATTCCTTGCACAGTCACGCATTATTTTGTAATGCAGAATTTTACCTCGACCCTGTGTTGTTGACTATAGCTTCAGGTGCCTATGAATTTCCCTCTTAACTAGATTTTAAGTCTTACGAGAGCAAGAACTCCATTCTTGAACATTTTAAAAAGCCTCACGGCATATCAAAGTACTTGGCACACAGTAAGTATATGTGATTTGAGTTTTTGACTCTTCATTTGTCCAACTAAACCAAATGAGTCTTAGATTAAGACACACGCAGCAAACACTGCACACCTACTATGTGCCAGGTTAGATCCCAGACATGCAGAGAACAAGTCAAAAGTCCCGCCCTCCAGGAGTTCATGGTTCAACCAACCAATGGGGTCAGGTCCTACAATCTCACCTCCTTCTTACCATATAGAATCAGAAGACACCCAAAGAGTACTAGTTCTTTGTCAGTCTATCAGGATTATAATTCCACAAATGAGGTAGAGGTGTAACTGTAAAGTTCTTCAGTGAGTGTATAGTGACTTCTTAGTTTGCAAGTAGAAGCAGTAGAAGACCCTGGTGGTTGCCATCTGCCATTTAAGCAGGGAATGAGCCCCAAAAACACTGCTGTCCCTCAGTTGCCCAGCATGGTGTCCCTTCAAATCTGCGACTCACGTGGGCATATCTATATTCAAGCAAACCAGAGATCAAAGCTACATGAGGCACAAAGCACTTTTTATTTATAGGCTTACAGAATGTATCGAATTAGAGGCATATCATTTGTTAACTCTATTTACCAAAAAGAGCTAAATATACATACAGCCTAAAATGCATCCATTGTAGTCTGCATATGGCAAAACTTGCTTCCACATACATATAAACTATTCTTATTTTACCTAAGTTATGCATTTAAAATACATAAAAATGGTACCAAATGACATACTGGCCTATTTTGTCACAATTCTTACACATTCCTCATAGTCAAAGGGATTAATAGGGAATGCATAGTTTCCTTACTAGAAAAAAAGTAGATTTTGATACAAACAATGAGATACAGTAAGGGTAAGAGTGCCTTGGTTAGGTGTCAGTAGCTTTACAATAAAATTCTTATTCAACTAGCATTACAATTGGTTCTTTTCATTAACAATTGGGATGCTGTTCATTTGCCTGGTCGTTCTACCTTCTGCTTGCCTGGCTGAGGCAGAGGAAATCAGTATCACTTTGTCTTTTCTTCCAGTTCATTTCTACTTTACCCAGTTTCCTCCAGGCCATCTGTCCCGCTTTTCTGCCCATTCCCTTTCCTTGGCCCCCCAAATCTGGACCATCTTTCTCACTGCATCAGCAACTAGATCATTGTATTTCACTCCAGGAAGCTGTTGAACAGAATCTTTGGCCACTGCCTAATTAAAGAACTTTCTTTCGCAGCTGCAAACGAGGGGCCGATACCTCTGCAGAAGAGTCAGGAAGCCAGTTAAAGAGATTTTTCTTCCGGTGACATGCAGAGACACCCCTCCTGCAGATCCCTCATCTCTCTCTCATCATACCCCAGGCCGGAGAAATTTCCATCACGATTGCTCCAGGCAGCCAAACCTCTGGCATCCCACACTGATTTCTTTCCTAAAAATACACAGCTTCTCACTCCACGGGGAAGAAAACTGCAACACTGCCATTTCCAGTGTGCTCCCCAAAGGCTGATGACGGCCGGAGCAATTCATCATCACTCGTGCATTCGGGTTTTTAGTTTTTCCTTCACAGAACTCTTCTTGTTTATCTTCTAGACATTGTGACATGAACCAGATGCATGTCGACCTTAGCATCCCTCCTGTGGGGGTTGGGGAGGGGGAAAAACATTCGCGCCACCTAAAAATCCTCTCTAGAATAACAGAAAACTATCTGAAATTTCTGGAAGACTTTCCAAAGTGGGGCCTCGCATATAGTGGCAGTTCCAGAATGTTTGTTAATTGTTAAATGGACCGGTTGATTGAATGGTGTCTATTCGGCATGATTTTCCTTCTGGCTGTGTGTATTTTGTTGCACTTTTTATTTTATCTCAAGGTACTGCTATATTCAAAATCATGATAAAAATGGAAGTCTTTCTCTGGGAGGGTATAGCAGAGTGTCATATAAAGAAAATACAATGCCCGCTGATCAGAAAGAAAGTTCTAGAATGGCCACTCCCTACTGGATAACCATGGGCAGGCAATCCACTTAGATTTTGTGTCTATGTTCTTCTTTCTGAAATTAGAGTAATACCTGACTTCCAATAAACTGTAGAACTATTTATGAAAAAATGAGATGGACACCAATGTTCACTGAAAAAAATATAAAGCTTTGCTGAAACGCAAGGTGGGCTTATTATCCACCGCCTGAGAACATAGTGCTCTTCATATGTAAGGTCTGTTTTTTGAGTTTTGATAAGAGGCCTATTCCCTATGGAGTCTGGGGGCAAGTCCTCCCTTTACGGAAGGGCTGTATGGAGGGGGCAGTCCTGGAACCTAGGCAAAGGGATTATAAAGGAGAAACAAGGTGACCAGGTGCCACCCATGGGAGGTGGGCGGGAGGAAAGGAGCAAGAGCTGCCCTCACAGGCTGATCTCCACAGGGTACAGTCCACATGTTTCTCTGCCTTGCGCGTTTGCTGTTGTTTAGTTGGTTTTGTGTTTTATGTTATTACTGGAAGAAAGCCTCTTGCAGAATTTGTTTGAAACTTCAGGGATTCTTGGGCTGAAGCAGTAAGATTAATGGAGCAAACTTCCACTAACTCGTGCCAAGAACATCTACGTTCCTTTAGGAAGTTGGCCAGAACAAATTTCTCCTCCCACAGCACAGGCACTCTGTAGATTGCAGGCTTTACTCTTGTACAAAATCAAAAGAAGGAAGAGATGAAGGAAGGAAGGAAGGAAGGCAGGCAGGGACGGAGGGAGACCTGACTGCAGTTGAGTAGATCACCCACTTCTCACACCCCACCCATCACCTGTTTAGATCTTTCTTTCGCCCCCTTAAAACCCCACCTGGACTCAACAAATCCTCCCCTCCCAAGCTCAGCACCCTGTGCTTCCTGGTTTTCCAGATTCCAGGCACTGGTGAGCGGAGTGGTAAGAGCGGGCGGTCAGTCCCTAACTCACCCTCAGAGGCACAGCTGGGACCTTGGTACAGCTCTGCAGCGACAGCACTGTGAGAAGATGCCCCAGTTGCTTTCCCTAGAGGCAGCTGGAATCAGGAACATCACTTCGACCTGGCAAAGTGCTGGGATTGTCTAAATGTCTCCTACACTATTTGCCAAGTATCTTTTTCTGCCCAGGCTTATCTGAGGGGTTCCATGCTAGTGAAAGGATAGCTTGCCCATCTTTACAGCCAGAAGAACAGCAGAGTTTTCTCGTTTCAGCCTCCAATGTGGGGATCTGGGCATTTGTAGTCTGTTCAAATAAACCAAGAAGGTGAAAGACTGCAGAAGAGTGATTTATGCTTTTAAAATGAAAACAAACCACTTTTCTCCTGTTTGCTCCATATTTAGTAGAAGTTTCAAGCAACAACACTAGTATGTGTGGGTGAGTTAGTTTATTAAAATCCCCGGTTTCCTAAGCTGGAAGCCTCAGCCTGCAGTCCCGGAATATACCCAAAACATCAATGCAGCCTTCTCTGAGTGCTATTTATATTGCCTCAGTCTGCATTGCTTAAATCAGGAAACAAACACATTCATATTTGTGGCAAAACATCTACCTACTCATGACATGGCAAATAATCATTAAAAAATAATAATACAGTACAACATGATTGTGCCACTTTCATGGCTAGAAGTGAAGTTGTAGGGTTACTCTTTCAGAGCTACCCCTAAAAGCATTCACTTCTTATTCTCTGAAGAGAACCAGCTACCCGGGCAGAACATTCACTAGGAACCTTCCACTCGACTGGATTCCACGAGCTCCTCTGTTGTCTGTGGCAAAAAGGCACAATTTGAAATAGGCCACCTGGTCCCCACCTAGTTTGTGGGCTTCAGCTTATCTGGCCCCATAGTTGGTCCCTACTGATCAGCCTGAGGTCCCCAGCCTGTATAGGATGACCCCGCTGCCAACATGTGGCCCTTGTGGGTGTGGGGTCCTGGGGGGAGGAGGGTTCCTTTGCTAAAGTACTGGGAGGAGAAGGAGTGTTACTATCATGAGTATCCGGGTTGCGATCTGGTGTCTGCAGCACCTTCAGTAGGGCTACACTAGCAGCAGAAATAGAAGCAACTCAACAAAACACGACTGTTATGTGATTAGGGAGGTAGGCAGATGGGCAGGTAGGGAAGTTGGTATTCAATTACTTGAAATATTAAGTTGTCCAGAGGGCAAAGACATGCATAAATCAAAGAGCCACCTCCAGGTTTCAAAGCACATGAAGACCTATGGAAAGTCCCTTTGACTCCATAAAATCTCACTTCAAAAATTCCACAGAATGCTCATCAGATGGAAATACCTGTTTCATCCCTCTACAGGATGGAACAAAAAGCATCATTCAGTCTTTGGCCTGTCTGCTGGTTACCCACAAACTCAAAGGACGGGTTCGGAGAAGCAGATGAGTCCTGAAGAGCATCAAACAAGCCTTATTGCTCCAGCCACCACGAGGGTCAGCTTTGAACCAGAAGAAAGAGAGAAAACTCCTTTGTCTCACTCCTGAGCCCTCATCCCGTGCTGGGCCTAGACATGTGTCACCAGGATGTTTTCTTTGTGGCAGAGGAAGCAATGTCAAACATTAAATCGTTAACATACCCATGACAAGCATCCATGCTGGCCAACAAAATAGCCAAGGTTCTGCTATTAAGGAGGATTCGGGGGGCTGGGCATTACTTTCAGGAAACTAGGATGGCTCAAAATAGCACTGCTGAGTGGTAGAAGATTTTTAAACTAATCATCAGCAAATCTTTTCAGCTGACTTTGGCTTTAAGCATTCCTACCAAAAGACTGCTAAAATGGAATGAGAAGGGCCCATAGTTTGTTTGGTTGGCTTTTTATTTCGTTATAAGAGCCGTTCCATCTTACCCAATTTTCTCCTTCCTCATTAAAAAGAAAAAAAAGAGGAAAAGAAAAAGCACATTACTTTCCTAGATGGCAAGAGTAAATGCTATACTCTTTTCTCAGAAATTACAGGCTTTAAGATGTCTTTTTAAATGGCAGAAGGGGCATGTCATGCAGTTAGCCAATAAATGCAATTCCTGATTAAAATGTGAGTTCTTAAAGTTGGAAAACTTCTAACTATTTCCCCAGTGCATTTTTAATCTCAGAGCGCTGAGACTGGCTTTTGTTTAGTTGTTTATTTTTCTTCTTGGTCCTCTCTTATGAGGGCTAATGCTACATGTCTTTTAAATTCACCCACCACATCTTCACAAACTTAAGTCAACAATGATATGTTCGAAAATCTTTGTTTTCCCTTTAAAACTGGACGCAAAAAAGAAATCTCTCCTGTCGGTGGAGACGGCTGTGAAAGAACGAGGCGCCTGCACATAAATCTCCTTAAACTTTTTGAACAGCTGCTTCTCTCTATCCCACTGGTAGATCTGGGAGAACGTATAGTCGCTCCCCAGGGCCAGGTAGTGATTATCTTTGAAAGAAAAGGGCTGTAGGGTCATGGCCCCCCGGGATGGAAGAGCCTGGATCTCCACAAACTGCTTACTGTTCCACTTCATGACCCTGGAGTCCCCGATGAAGCGAGTCAGGGAGAGGTAGAGGGCGTTCTGCATCCGGAAGCTCTTCACGGCCAGCACGTCCTCCATGTTGGGGATGTCGCCGTGGGGGACAAACTTCTTAGAGCTTTTATTCCACTGGAGGATGATGGGAACCTGGGAGCGGCTGGACAGGATTAGATGCGATTTTCCATCTATATCCACAAACTCTGCGTCCGTGTCCCTGAACCACTCGTGCAGGGACTGGTAAGAGTAGAATCCTTTGCTGTTCCATTTATAAACTGTGGACAGACCCGCTTTAGAGCTGTCTGCGATGACGAAGAACGTCTCGTCGTCGATCTGAAACAGCTCGATGTCGTTGGGCTTGGAAATGCGAGAGACTTCTATGTCTTGGAATTTGACAAACTTGGTCCAGTTCTCGTCGTATTTGTAAATGTGAGAGCCGCCGAAGAGCTGGGCCACCACCACAAAGACCTGGCTGTCGATGAGGATGGCCTTACAGCCCACGATGGACTGACCTGTGCTCCAAAACAAAAAAGAGGGGATTAGTGCAGCTACAGTTAAAAATGCACCTTGATAGTGAAGTTGGAAGCCTTGTGCCCGGCTGGCGGGAATGTAAAATGGTGCAGCCACTATGGGAAACAGTATGGTGGCTCCTTGGAAAATTAAGCATGGAATTACCATTTGATCCAGCAACTCCACCCCTTGGTATATACCCAGAAGAACTGAAAACAGGGACTCTAAGAGGTATCTATACACCCAGTGCTATAGAATGAATGTTTGTAGCCTCCAAACTAATACATTGAAACCTAATCTCCAATGTGATAGTATTCGGAGGTGAGGCCCTTGGGAGGAGATTAGGTCATGGAGGCAGAACCCTTGGGAATGGGATTAGTGCCCTTATAAAGAGACCCCAGAAAGCTCCCTCTGCCCTGCCACCACATGAGGACACAGCAAAAGATGGCTAGCTGTGAAGTGGGCCCTCACCACACACCAGATCTGCTGATGTGGCCTTCCCAGCCTCCAGTCAAACCATGAGAAGTAGATTTCTGTCACTTATAAGCCACCGCGGCTATAGTATTCGTTACAGCAGCCTGAACAGACCAAGACACCCACATGCACAGCATTGTTGCTCACGATAGCCGAAAGGCGGAAGCAACCCAAGTTGCATCGGTGGATGAGTAGATAAACGAAATGTGGCATATACATATAACAGAATATTATTCAGCTCTAGAAAGGAAGGAAACTCTGACACATGCTACAACATGGATGGACCGTAAGGACATCATGCTAAGTGAAATATGCCAGTCACGAAAGGACAAATACTATATGATTCCACTGACATGAGGTACCTAGAGTAGTCAGAGACATAGAGGCGGAAAGTAAAGGGATGGTGTCAGGCGCCAGGGCAGAGGGCGATGAGGAGCTGGTGTTTATAAGTGCAGAGTTTCAGTTTTTCAAGATGCAAAGAGTTCTGGAGGTTGGTTGCACAACAGTGTGACTGTCCCTGAAACTACTAACCAGAACACTTAAAAATGGATAAGATGGTAAATTTTATGTTATGTATTGTATTTCCACAATTAAAATTTTTTTTTTTTTTTTTTTTTGAGACAGAGTCTCACTTTGTTGCCCGGGCTAGAGTGCCGTGGTGTCAGCCTAGCTCACAGCAACCTCAAACTCCTGGGCTCAAGCGATCCTCCTGCCTCAGCCTCCTGAGTAGCCGGGACTACAGGCATGCGCCACCATGCCCAGCTAATTTTCTATATATATATATTTTTAGTTGTCCAGATCATTTCTTTCTATTTTTTAGTAGAGACGGGGTCTCGCTCTTGCTCAGACTGGTCTCAAACTCCTGATCTTGAGCGATCCACCCGCTTCGGCCTCCCAGAGTGCTAGGATTACAGGCGTGAGCCACAGTGTCTGGCCCACAATTAAAATTTTTTAAAAAATCTTTGTAAAATGTGCTTCCATAGAAACGAGTATGTGAGGTCATCGGGGCCTCTGGAGTCTTCATTCAAGGTGGGCATACGATTCAGGAAGTTCACTAACACGCCAAATGAATTGTCTTCATGCTATTTAAAAAAGTATGTTAATTAGCTCATTTAGCCATTCCACAATGTATACGTATCTCAAAACAATGTTATACATGGTAAGTATATACAGTCTTTATTTGTCAATTAAAAAATAAATTTAAAAAAATTTATATCCTAAAAAAAAAAACTATTTCCTGACTCCATATGTCAGAATGAGGCAATTAAATGGGCTTCTTTCCCTGCGGGGTAAGGGAAGGTTAAAAGGTAGGAGTCAGGTCTCACAGGCAAGAGAAAAAAATTCTGAGGACTCGCAAAGACTTTTGGACTCTTCTGATTCCAGAGCCAAGGGAAGCCAAATGCAGGGAGAACAGAGTAGTGTTAAACCTATGACCTCAACCAGGTGGCCTGGGGTTCAAACCCGGCCCCCACCTTGTAAGCTTTCTGACCCTGGGCTGGTTAACTCAACTCTCTGTGCTCAAGCTCCTCACCCATAAGAGGAGACTGATGACGCTACCAGCACTGACCTTACAGGTGACCAAAAAGACTAAATGAGATCATTCATGGCAAGTGTTTTTAGCACAGAGCACCTGCGTGTAGGAGATGGCTGATGATCAGTGGCTACCATTATTGGACAATCAAATCCATTGTCTTGATAATCAAAAGACCTCGACCCTTAGTATCTGTCCATAGCTGACCCTGTAGAAATATCTAGAGAAGGAGCAACCATCTGAATGATCTGGCTCAAGTGTCACAAAACTAGAACTTTACAGGGACAGGGGACCATTTTCCTCTCTGGCTCACCTCTTGCCATCCTCTCCCACCCTGTACCCAAGCCCGCCCCCAATCCCCCAATTCCAGAAGATCAACCAGCAAGCAAGGGGCCACCTACAAGACCACTGACCCTCAATCTAGGTCATTCAATTACAAGTTCATTCTTTCTTTTAATTTTCTGGATAATTTGAACCAAAGTGAATTTAGTCTATAAATTACAAGGATAATTACCCAACTTCTGTCCTGATGTTTAACTTTGGGGCCACACAGTGGGTGGTTTTCAGAATGGCATTTACTTTTCTCTTTTACTGTTCTGGCCTTCTTGCAAGAACTTAATCCCTTTCCTTTATTTACAACAAATTATTGCAATTTTTTCCCCTGAGGATAAAAATGTTAAATGTTCACCAAGACAAATTTTGAAAATAATAATAGGTAAAAGTTATAAAGTGTGTGCTTATGAAAAGGCACTATTCTAAGTACATGTATATACACACTTAATCCTCATAACATCCACGTCAGGCAGGTACTATTCTTATCATCATCATTCCCATTTTACAAAGGGTGAAATTGAGGCACAGAGAAGTTAAGTAATTTATATAAAGTCACAGAGCTAGCATATGGTAGAGCCTGGGATTTAAATCCAGGCAGTCCGGCTCCAGTCTACACTCCACCTCCAAAGAAAATAAAAATCACTTATACTACAAATGTAAACTAACACTTAATATCTTGATATATTTTTAAATCTTTAATCTATGTGTTAATACATATTCTAATATGCATTTTTTAAAAAATTGGGGCTTGTCCTATACATATGCTTTTTCTAACCGACTTTTTTTCACTTGACTCCTATAGTGTGAACGTTTTTCCATGTTATTGAATCTTTAACCACTTGATTTTTTTTTTTTTTTGAGACAGAGTCTCACTCAGTTGCCCCGGCTAGAGTGCCGTGGCATCAGCCTAGCTCACAGCAACCTCAAACTCCTGGGCTCAAGCAATCCTACTGCCTCAGCCTCCCGAGTAGCTGGGACTACAGGCATGTGCCACCATGCCCGGCTAATTTTTTTATATATGTATATTTTAGTTGTCCAGCTAATTTCTTTCTATTTTTTTAGTAGAGATGGGGGTCTCGCTCTTGCTCAGGCTGGTCTCAAACTCCCAAGCTCAAAGAATCCTCCAGCCTCGGCCTCCCAGAGTACTAGGATTACAGGCATGAGCCACCACGCCCGGCCTTGATTTCTTTTTATACTACACACTATTCCATGCACAGATGTACCACATTCTATTTGACTAGTCCCCTACTGTTGGACATTGCAGTTATTTCTAGTTTTTCCTTATTGTTAAATAACATACTTCCTTTAAAATGTTGTCAAATAACATGTTTTGATACCATCTGGCAGTGTTCTCAAACGTTAAGAATTGTTGGAGCAAATGTGCACATTTTTAAGGCTTTTGGGTTTTACCTGCCAAATAGCTCTTCAAAAGCCGCACGGATTTCCACGCTGCCAGTACTGAGAGTGCACACTCCTCATCCCCTGCCTGAGCCGCCTGGCTGCGGAGGCCCCTGCCACTCAGAGGCTTCCTAGAGTTCTGCCTGCTGCAGCCAAGGGACTGCATGAAACAGAAGGAATTCCTTTCTTGGACATGCTCTGTAACACTTCTCTCCTGGTAAACACTTTTAGCCTATGAAGTTGTTGGTGGCAGAGAGATCACTCTGCGTGTGTGTGTTTGTGTGTGTGTGTGTGTGTGTGTGTGTGTGTGTGTTAATGTAGGAGGAGGGATTACAGATTGGAACATGCCAGCATGCAGAAATCAAAATGCAAACAAACCAAACATGGGGACCTGAGAAGAGATGTAGAGAGAACTGGGGAAGGAGTGAACGTTAGGGTCAACACAGCCATGGGTTTCTCTCTCTCCCGTGGGGACAGCTGGACAGCTGGAGCTGCCCCTTTTCCACCATGGTTACCAGGGCTGCAAAGGAGGGTGTATATGGTTTGAGAAAATCCTGCCCCACCCTTGCCAACTCGGGATGGCCCCATGGCCAAACAAGATGACAAATGAGGCATGCATGGCCCCAGGAGAGGAGAATGGTCCATGTTTACCTGGTTCTTGTCCAGGGCAAGTGGTTCCAAGGGCTGTGCCCTTGCCAATCCACATGTGCTTCCTTCATGCCTGGCTCAATGCCAGCCATCAAGATACAGCCACTCTCCTTCTTCACCGAGCAGCCCCTCCTTCTGTAATCCCCCTTCCCCTGCCTCCCTCAGGCCAGGCTGCTGGTCCCTGTGTTCCCTATGCTATGCAGGTAATGGAAGTCAAAAAGTTAGGGTTGGTGGGGGAAGAAGGAGGGCTGCTCCTATTTTATGCCTGACTGAGAAAGTTAACAACTGGGGAGGAGCTACTGCCCGCCAGGCACGGTGCCGTTACACACACGTCACCCCCATTAAATCCTTACCGTATTCCCGGGTCCAATACCATACTGATCCCATTTCACAGATGAAATGGACATTCCTAAAATCCCCATTTCGTAGATGAAAGGGGCTCATGCAATGAAATAACTTGGCCAAGGTCACCAGCTAGTAAAAGCTGGAGCCGGGATGATCAAAACCCAGTTTGATGTCGGAGCTTGTAAGTTTAACTACCACGCTGCCGGAGCTCACTTCCTGGGCTCGGCTGCGAGAAGAGGAGCCAAGTGGGCCTCATGCCCAGCCTCAGAAGATTCAGGCTTGGAGGCTAACAAGGTCCAGCCAGGTTCTGGCCCTGGCCACATAAACTCTGATCTCACTGACCACTTCCTCCCCACCACCCTGTGGCCCCCACTGGGTCCAGGCCATCATCGCTTGCCTGGATTCTGGACTCTTGCAATAGCCTCTTTGCTGGCTGCTCTGTTTCCTCCTTTCGACTCACACCCACAACCACAAAGGCTACTCTCCACCCAGTAGCTGGACACAACCCAGCCCTCTGTGCCAGGTCCCTGCTGCCTCCTTGTAGCCCTGTTGGCCTCTGCACAGAACCTTCCATGGCTTTGCAGAGCACTCAGAGTAAGAGCCCAAGTCCTTCCCAGGCCCTGCATGGCCCCCGCAATCAGCCCTCCTGACTTCTGACTTGTCAACTGCAGCTGCCCTGGTTCATGTGGCTTGTGCCAAACTAGCTCCCTAGATGTTCTTCAAACAGGAAGGACCCCTCCCGCCTCTCGACCTGTGCACCCGCCGCCTGGTGTGCCCCACCTCCAGCTCTCCATGGGGACCAGCCCTCCCGTCCCGCAGGTCTTGTGCAAGTAGCACCTCCCTGGTGAGGCCTTTACTGGACACTCTCCCCCGAATTTCAATCCTCTCTCGCCCGGTGCTCCAAACCTTCCTTCCTCGAATCATTTCCCCTCCTCAACACACTGTTCTCTGATGTGTTTTTTATACATTGTGATCACTTGTCTTTCTTATCCTCTCTCTCTCTCTCCCATTAGAATGTAAGCTCCTTGAGGGCAGAGGTTTTCATTCGGTTTGTTTACTGCCATGTCGCCAGCACCTAGAATGTGCCCAGCTCAGAGCAAGCGCTCAAAAAATCTTTGTGAATGAATGAATGAGTGAATGAATGAATGAATTTGGGGATGCCACTAGCTACAGTATGTCAGAAGGGCAGGTGGAGGGCAGTGCTGTCCTACCACGGTCAACCTGGGAGAGGAAGGGGTAGAGTGTAGCTGTGAGAGAGCCCAGGCTCTGCCCCCAGTAAACAGAAGGTGGCTGGACACACCTGAGCCTTGACCTCGTCGTTTGAAAGGTCGGGAGAAGGACGCAGGCTTCAAGAAGGGCCGGCTCTGTTTCCGGCACTCAGCGATTCCTCACAACATCCGGACGAGGCACATCTACTCCCATTTTACAGGGGAGGAAACCAAGCCCCAGAGGTACAGGGACTTCCTAGTCCACGGCAGGGTCAGGAGCACAATCCATGTTCATCGATTTTCAGAATCTGAGCTCTTCATAGTATATAAAGAGTTATATAGTATATATAGTATATAAAGGTTACCTCTCTTGAGAAGAGCACTTTTGTGCTCTACCTACGGGCAGGCGACCCACAGGCAGTGCCCAAGGGGCTATTGTGAGTTTCCAGTGAGATAAACCAGGGCCTGGCACCTCGCAGGCCCTCAGAACTCCTCACACAAGAGCAAAGTGTCACCTGCTCCCACCTCCTAGCCTGGGCAGGGAGGAGAGGCTGGGCGGCCAGCTCATCATCCCTCCCCTGCCTAACAAGTCAGGAAAAAGAGGGATGCAAAAAAACACTCGCACGTGGAGTCCCTCTCTCATCTCCCTTTTTCTCTGCTTCCCTGCAGGGTCCCCTGCTCCGCTCCACGCTGAGTCTGCACTCCCGAGGGGGCTGCCCTCGGGCAGGTGAGCTTAGCACCAGGAGGCCAGATGGGCTGAGGGCAGCTGGCTCACCTGAAACAGCATCTTTGGAGCATCTGGACGTGCATCTCGCACTGTGAGATTAGGCCCATTAGCAGCTCTTCTCCCCGAGGGGTGGAATGACACTTGCCCGGCCCCGCTCCGTCCCCGCACCTGCTGCATGCCCCTTCGTGCCTGGGAGCCTCCCAGCCCAGAGATTCTGCCCGCATGTGCCTCTCGTTGCAACAGTAAAATGCTGCTCTAAAGTAACATCGGGAACCTCTAAAGAGAACCCTCTTCTGGGGTGATAACTAGACTTTTGTGGCACTGTTTACAAAGCTAGTATCAGTATCAGATTTCACTCTGATAAATGAGAAGTCTTTGAAAGATTATTTTGATTTTATCCACTTATTTAAGCAGCAAGTAGTCCATTTTTAGTAGCACTCAGGCACCGGGGTCCCATGAGACAGCATTAACTAAGTCATATTCCAAGTGCCTGAATTTAAGGGCCCATTTATTCGTATTTTGTATGTACTTAGTAAAAGGAAGCAGTGATCACTAGGACCTGGCAAGGGGGCACTAGGAACAAGCTATAGGGTGTGAGAGAGAGAGAGAGTGTGTGTGTGTGTGTGTGTGTGTGTGTGTGTGTGTGTTAGCATATTAGTCAACAATCAGCTTACCGAGAGCCAAAGCATCACTTAGCTGTTAGAAATCTGGTGTGGTCTTAGGACAGGGCGGAGCAGCTCAGGAGGGTGACTTCTCACTGCTCCTAGAAAACGCCTCCCGCCACATGAAACCATCATCCTCTCCCTTTCCGAAAGGCTCACCAACAACACACAGGATCGCCCCCGAGGTGTCTGCTCTCACTGATAAATGATCACTCCAAGAAAAACACTGGTGAGGCAATGAGGGTGGGCTGGGACAAGTTCCCAGCTCTAACCAGTTAGAGAACCCGGCTCTCCCTCAACCTGGCAGAGAGTGCTCCGCTCTCACCGGCGTGCAGCAATGCTGAAGCTACATCGGTACCTCTGATCAAAGCCACAACACACCTGTGATGTTGTCGTAGCTCCGGAAATTCATTTCGATGTGGTCCCACTCCAGCACCATGCAGTTCTCCATGCCGGGCTGGGCGATGGCCACGTACACGTCGTTCTTGGAGTTGAACGTATCCACCGAAACCGACTGGTACGGCAACGTCTGATGAACAACAAAATCTAGGAGCAGGTGTTTAAAAAGAAACACGTTCATAAAATCTCTTGTGTGAATTATCAACTGCCATCGCCTTTCTATCCTTTCTGTCCTCACATCAGTTCTGAAAAGGGCCGGAGGGGGGAGGAGGACAGGAGAGACGCGACACAAACATCACAGCGTATTTGTGAAGGGTTCTGGCTGGCACAGGATCATCGGACTGAACACACGGCTTCGAACACAGCTTCCCATAGATAAACAGCTTCACGGGTTTGGCTAAAGGAGCTGAAAGTTTTAAACAAATTTGGTGAGACCTGGCTTTCAAAATGACAAGACGCAAAGGACGCAAGCAGCAACGCTCTGGAAACGGTCATGTGAGTGACTCTCGGAACAGCCCCTGCAGGAAAGAATCCTGGTGAGTTTCGTTTGATGTGGTGCTTCACAAACTTCCCTGACACTTTGGTCCCATCTTTCTAACCTCCAGCTCAGCAATACCCCTTTCGGGAGACAACAACGCCGCTGCAGGCTGAAAACATTATACTCCCCAGAGGGCACGCTGAACATTGGGAAACAAAGCCAAACCCTCTGCTGTGGTCTCAGAGGTTTAAGAAGCCCACAGTTGCGGGGAGGGGAGGACGTAGTTAACCTACGTCTGCTTCCTGGTTCCCGGGCTTGGAGCAGTGGTAAGGGACAGCCGTGCCTTGGATCGAGACGCGTTCTCAGCTCCGCAAGCAGTTACAGGAGGTCTATTGGGTTTCGAGCAACATGGGCCCCTCCTATTTGAGCATGCTTTCTACGCTTACGTTTATTGGTAAGTCGATGCTTCTCATGCCTATTGCTCCCCTGAGCTACAACTCACTCCCACCACTAAATCTTGGCAGGGAACAGACAATTACTGAGGAACAGAGTGAGCACGCCCTTGGAAGCAAGGATAGATGGCATGTGGGGTAACTAGCGGGAAAAAAGAGTCTCTAAAAGCAGCATAAGCACACTAATCAAGTTTAAGAAACGAAGTTTAAGTTATTTCTTTGGCCAGAAATGCTTCAACGTGCACTGATTCTTGGTAGGCTAAATGCACCCAGGGTCGTGGTGGACGCCTGGCTGAGGAAGTCATTCTTCTGAGGAAATCCTGGCTTTGCCCCTCTCTCCTTCACCCCCAGTCCTTATCCATCAGGTCTCCTTTGACAGCCTTCCCTGACCAGCCCAATCCACAAGACTCTCTCCTAACTTGCTGGGCTTCTAACTAGGCATTGTTTAAACCATATTATCTACTGTCACTCCAAATAATAACATCAGAGTCTGATTTGGAGATATGGGAGGGATCTTAGAGACTTGAGCCATTTTACAGAGCCCAGAGAAGGTGAACATCTAGCCATGGCCACACAGCCAGCATGGTGTCTCCTGGACCAAGGGCTCCCTGAGATAGGGCCTGGTTCCTATGCTTCTCTGAGCCTCCCACGGCTGGAGGCCATGACCACCACTCAGGAAGTGGAGCATGGATGGGAAAAGCAGGTCACATTCATGGGGCCAGAGGAGCAGGGTGGGGCCCAGGAATGAGCACTGTGCCTGAAGACACACCACCTAAGGCTACTTCCTGCACTTGAGACCCTGGGCTGGTCACCTCTCCCCTCAAGGGCTCAGTTTACCTATGCGCACTATGGCAATGACACCTCCCAAGCTTGATGGAAGGGACGGATCAGGTAATGCTGGTGGAAATGCCCATCTCGGGGGTTGGCACACTGATAAATACGCAATCGAGGTCTGAGAAAGGACAGTCCACCTCCTCTGTCCTAGCCAGCGCTGGGCTTGTCTTTTGAGGGAGTGTCTATTTTAACAGCATCTAAGATAAGTTGCTGAAGCTGAGGTGCCTCCTTCTTGCTAAATGGCCTTGGGAAAACCACTTAACTCTCACTGCCTTGGTTTCCACATTATGTGTATGACTCATACTCACTTAGCCTAGCACAAAGTGAGCGCTCAATACGTGTTAACTTTTGGAGGCACCCCTCCCTGAATTATGGGTGCACAGTAGGTGTTTAATAAATGCTTGCTGGCTTAATGAGTATGGGTGGGCTGGCCTCTGCAGCCCGACAGGCAGCAGGTGACTGGCGGAAGAGTGTGGACAGGTGGCTCCAGTGGACAGGGTAGCTCCCGAGGAGAAAGCAGAGCACCATGGTGTGGGGCTGGGGCTGGGAGCCAAGACAGACAGGGCTTCGGAGTCCCTCCATGCCGCTTTTAGCTACATGATCCTGGGCAAGAAAATTGAGCATCACATTCTTCATCAGTAAAATGAGGGTGACGTCTCTTTCATAAGGTTGCTGCAGAGACTAAATATGCGTGTAAGTACACAGCGCAGCGCCTGATCTATGGCGATCGCTCAGCAGTTTACACCTGCAACAACGAAAGTGCTAAGCTGCTGCTGGAAGACTCAGGGAAGAGTTACCATGGCTCCTAGACCCACCCCTTGACCCTCCCTCCCAAAATAACAGTGTTACTCAGTGAAAGATGAAAAACACAAAACAGTGAACCTCTGTTCATTCCTGGAGGCACTGGCAGAGCCAGCGTAGAAGCCAGAAAGTGCGCGTTGACAGCACGAGGCTTTGCTGCTTTCCGTGTTCACAGGTAGGTGGCAGGGAAAGGAGAAATGGCAGCCCTGCAGAACACAGTATTCCCTGCGTCCTTTTATATCCCCAGAAAAGGGAGCACACGACGACTGCTGCCATCTTTTAATTACAACTGAGACGGCCATAAACTCCTCTCCTCCATCTCCGGTTGCATCTGACTAATCCAAGTCTGCCAGAGTTCTAAATACTCCCGCGATGCCCGTAACTCACTCGTCTCCTCAGAAACATGAGCATTCGCTTAAAAAGGCAGGCTGTTTAAAGTGCAGACCAAAAAGTTTCCATTTGTATTGAAAAATCCCAGGATGAAAAAGGGCTGCTGGAATAGAGAGCATTTTACAAATCTAGCCTTTAGTGGTCCCATATTCATTTATTTTCCCCAAAGAGTGGTTTTGTAATAATTTCTATATACTATCAGGGATAACACAGATTATGAAATCATTTGAATTACAAATCTAATTCTTAATAGGAGACCCCACCCCACCTGCCTCCCACCCTCCAAATAAAGGAGGAGGAGGAGGAGGAAGAGGAAGAGAAGAAAAAGAAGAAAGGAGTGAAAAGAAAATGATTGAGGCATGTGTGTTTGTGGGTATCGGAGGAGAGGACTGCAGGAGTTTAAATATCCTTTCCCGCCCCCAGCTTAATTCACCTCTCACAAATAGCAAAAGCACATTCATCGTGGAAATATCTCGAAAATACACATATTGATATGACATCAATTTACCAGTGTTAAAATATTAATGGTGCTCTGCAAAAAGAGCTGCCACTTCCATTCACACTGGATTAAGTTCATGATGTCAGTGGGACTCCTACAATTTAGGCCTTTCTCCCACTGGAATCAACAGATTTTTACATAGCTATTTATAGCACTTGCAGAAAATAAATTATACATGATGCCGATCCTACTGGGAGAGAAACTGCACGTTAATGCATTATTTCTCTTTGCATTTTCATCAGCCCTGAAATAGGGAAGCTAACAGGACCATTAGGATGCAAAATTCACTCCCTCGAAGGAATTTAGTGAATTATCCACATAACACAGGGAATCATTGGTAGGTAACAGGGATTTTTGAGGTGGCTAAAAATAGACTCGAAGGGGAGGGTTCTGGAAGGACTGTGATTAAAGAGCTGGAACAGCCCAAGGTGGCTTTGTGGTATTAATTACACCCCTTGGCTGAGGAACAGAATGGTAACAGTACCCTCCTTTCTCTGGGAAAAACAGGGTGAGACATCTACCCGAAAAAACTTACTCCTTGCCTGAAAATCTGAGCTAAAAGGAAAACAATGTACTCGGAAAATGTGCTTCTTTCCAAACCTTTAATACTAAGATATGATAACCATACCATGAACTCTCACACTTGGCTTTTCATGTTCCATCCACCCTCACTCATTTCCTTCCCAGCCTTTAATAAACCACCAGACGCCAAAGCGTGATCTGAGCACAAGACAGAAATCCAAAACACTCACAACTTACTGACCCAGTTCTTACACGCAGGGACACTTGGGAGTGGGTCACAAGCTTTTTGCACTATTTTTTTTCCCGATGGAAGAAACTGCGAGCAAGAGCTAATTTGTTCCTGAGTCTGAAAGGGATAAAATCATAGTAAAGAAAGAATCATCATCTCCTTCTTACCAGAAAGCCTTTTGCTGACTGTCTAAAGCTTAGTAGAAAGCTTGGTAGAGAAGACAAATACACACGAGACAGAGACGGCCCTAAAATGGGTTGGAGGCTCGTGCTGCCCCTCGGATTTGGAACTGGCTACCTTGGTTCCAAGCCGCCTCCATTCTAGTACAATAACGTAACAATTCTCAGAGCCCAGATCTTTTTTTTTTAGAGATGGGAGTCTCCCTCTGTCACCTAGGCTGGAATGCAGTGGCATAATCATAGCTCAGTGCAGCCTCAAACTCTTGGGCTCAAGCAACTGCATCATTTTTATAACCATCCACACAGCCCCTGAGTTCAGAAAACATGTTTCCTTGGGCCAGGGGTGATGGCTCACACCTGTAATCCTAGTACTCTGGGAGGCTGAGGCGGAAGGATTGTTTGAGCTCAGGAGTTCAAGACCAGCCTGAGCAAGAGAGACTCTGTCTCTACTAAAAATAGAAAAAATTAGCCAGGTATCATGGAGGGCACCTGTAGTCCCAGCTACCTGAGAGGCTGAGGCAGGAAGGTCACTTGAGCCCAGGAGTTTGGGGCTCCTGTGAGCTATGGTGACACCATTGCACTCTACCCAGGGTGACAAAGTGAAACTCTGTCTCAAAAAAAAAAAGAAAGAAAACATGTTTCTCATATAAATTATTCCCTCTTTTGAAGGCCCTTTGTAGCCCATGTCACTTCCCTCAAAGATTGGCAAAGTTTTCACATGCCATAGCCAGGTGTGAATAGGACAATGGAAAAGCTGCTAACGTCACCTTGGGGTTTAAAGAAATTTCCAGAAAAATTGGGCAAAGGGCAGAAAGGAGTCCTTTGGTTTAGCATTTAATACCAGATGTCTTGAACGCCACCTTTTGGAGCACATGTCATTGACTATGACCTTTGATTTATTACACTGGCCCTAAAATACAATAAATAACCTTATAGTGGCCTCAGCTGACTACAGGGCACCTGCCAATTACACAGCTGAATAAGCTCCTACCCAGTGATGAAAGACAAGGGCATTCCATGAGATTTCAGGTTTTCCATCAGAAAAGAACAGAATGTGTAGGGTCACTTATTTACAAACAAAGACATCTAGACATCATTTTTACTTTGTGGGTTTGAGGAAGAAAGGGTGGTAGCAGGGATTGGCCTGAATGTCATATTTTATTCTTAGAGTTTTGGTGTCTTTTGAGTTTCTGTAACTATTTTCTGAGCTCTCATTCCTGCTGCTTTTCCTGACATGACTTGGGGCTTTGTAGATATCCACCCTCAAGAGAAATGTTTATTTTTAAAAATATGTAAGCAGGTTTCATACTGCAGATTGATCCTCTCTCCTTTAAAATCTGGCTTTAGAAGCTGCAGAAACTCCACCTAAGCTTTTCATATGGAGATACTCACCTGCGCTCTATAGGATGTGAGAGTGGGGGCGGTTAGGATTTTAATTTTATCTTATAACCTGAAAAATGTATAAACTGAAATCTTGAGGCAGAGCCTGGAAAATAAAATCTAACTTTCTTAACATTTTCCCCTCAGTGTGAGTTTTTGCTTTTGACAATTAGTTGTTGACTTAGATTTTCTACTTTGCCATTGGTTACAATTTACCTAGTTCCCTCTTTTTACATGGAACTATGAAACTAATCTGTATATTTAAAAGTATGGTATTTATTCATTAAATTTTCAGTAAACGTCACCTTACTGAAGCAAGAGAACAATGACAATAGAGTAACTTAGGCCTCTGTGCACCAGCTTTCCATGCAGCTCAGACTGATTTGAAAATGTTCTCATGCCAAACTCACAAGTTTATATTTTGACCTTAAAAAAAGGAAAAAAAAAAAAAAAAAAATTTGAAAATGTTCTCATGCCAAACTCACAAGTTTATATTTTGACCTTAAAAAAAGGAAAAAAAAAAAAAAAAAAACCTTAGAGAAATTTGAATTTCGTAAAGAATCAAAATTAAAGCCCGTGCAGTTAATGAAATTCCTTCCAAACTTTTGAGATATTTTCCTTATCACATCAATTCACTTCTTTGAGAATGCTTAAGCTTCCTGTAAAATTATTTTGATAGAAAATTTCCACATTCACTTTTCCCCACTCCCTGTGGACAGTCTAAAAGAAAAACAAAGACGTCTTTGATGCTATAGGTTCTGAATACCTGTAGTTGTGCATTCGTAGTCAAAGCTGGTCACATCATTCAGCTTCTTTTCCTGATATTCTGGTGGACCAATACACAGCACATCGGAAACAGTGGAATTTGTCATCTTCAACCACAGGTACAGCCACTTGGCTTTGCAGTCACATTCAAATTTATTACCCCTTAAATCTCTAAAAATCAAAACAAAACACATACACAGAGAAATAGACACATCAGACATGTTTTGGTAGTAATACGAAACTACAGAATTACTAATATCCTGATATATTTAAAACGCCCTAAAATGGAATTTTTAAAAAGTTTGTATTTAATGCATCTTATTTCTTGTACTTATCATTGACTTTATTTAATGTTCCTCAGTGTCCATGATTTTAACTGTATAACATACAGAGCGCTCTCAGAAATGACCTATCACCATCTCTCCAAACCTTCTTGAAGCTGTCACCATGCCATGCTGGCAACAGGGGAGAGATGACACAATACCCCCAACTCAGGTTCATATAAACAAAAATAGGACATTGTAGGAAGATAGTTTTCACACACACAATTTAAACTTTTAAGATCTTGTTACACTACGCCCAGCAAGAAGTGACAAATACTGGACGATAAAGCAGGTGGATACACTATCTCAGGAAAGGGAACTTCCCATTCAGCAAAAGTCATTTACCATATTTATATACTAAGTATATAAAATGGCAAAATCCAACACAATGCAAACTACATTCTATTTCCCAGGATGCACTGCTTTGTTATGGATTTTTAGCTACAGTATAAAAGAAATGCAGTGAATGGGGTGAGGGGATTAAAAGATATGATTAACTGGGGAACAATGACAAGCACATCTCAACTTGATTTCTTTACTTACAGTTCAATCAGAGAGTCTAAATCACTGAAGACATCCCTTGGTAGTGCTTTTATGTGGTTATTGGCCAAAGAACTAGAACCAGAAAGTCACATTTTAATGTGGTTATTATCTCATGCCCTGTCACTCTCAAGTCCCTCTAAATCAAGCTAATGACTTAAAACAGAGCTTTGGTCATCAATACTGAGATTAAAAAATGAGTTTGGTTATACAAAGATAACATTAGAGATGCTGGATTATAACGTAAGTTTTTCTGGTTTTGTTTTTAAAACAAGCATTTTTTAAACTCTTTATGTACATTTGTTAAACCTCAGCTGGCTTTCCATGTTTCTTGGAATAAAAACCAAAGTCCCTATCTAGTTACTTCCACTCCTGCTTACCTGTGGGACCACATCTCCGACTACTCAGATCCAGCCACACTGGCCCCCTTGCTATTCCTCAAACAGGTGAGGCAGGCATGCTCCCAGCGCAAGGCTCTGAACCTGTTCATCTGCCTGGAATGTTCTTCTCCCACCTATCCGCTCAGCGCTCCTCAATTATCATCACCTTTTCTGGTCTCCGTACCTCTCTTTTCCCTGCTCTGTTGATCATCAGAGCATGACCGTCATTTGGCACACTACCTATTTTAATTACCTATTTGCTTATTGGGTGTGTATCCCTCCTATACATAAGCCACATGAGGACAGAGATTATTGTCTGTCCACTGCTGTATCCCCAGTTCCTAGAACAGTGCCTGGCATGCAGTAGGTACTCAGTATATCTTTGTTGAATGGATGAATGAACAAAATTATGACCAAAGCAAGAGTGATAAAAGAAGATGCACAGCCTTGTCCCAAGAACTTCCCCAATGATGCATCTGAGTGAATTCTGTTATTTGCGACTCTAAGAAAGGACTCAATAAATACTCTTTTACATAAAGACACTCAGCTCTAACCCTTATGGTTAATATAATAAAATCTCAATGAATCAGAATGTTTAGGGAATGACTGATTACGATCAATTTCATTTTGTCATTAACAAAGGTTGACCAGAAACCATTTTGCATTTTTGCTCTCAGGTTGAAAATCTTTCTAAGATATCCTAGTCCACTCCCCACCTCCAGGAAAGAGACTAGAATGAACAGCATCAACTCTTTCTCTGATGATTCAGGATTTTGCAGTGTTCTGTCATCATCCTGCTGAAGATGAATGTCCGTGGTGCAGGGCTATTGGTGTAGACAGATGCTGGGTGTTGAAACACTGTACCCTGAGTTTATGATTTCCCCAGGCACTGCACTCTAATGTGAGTCAGCTACGAAACCAATACCTACTTTTGTTTTCTTTTACACGTATGAATGCAAACAGCAAAACATGTAAATGATAAACATGTAAGCAATTCAGCACCAACTTCTTTAAACTATATATGAAATTAGTTTTTTGTAGCATCATAATAACCCATCCCAGAAAGACGAATTAGAGAAATGAGCGTTCCTTCTTAGAGTCAGTTACCTGGGTGTCGTAGAAAGCTTTGAGCCCAAACATTCTTGCTTCAAGATATAACTGAATATGAGGAGACTCACAGTTTCTGAATTATGCCCCTTGCTGTCTATATAACCACAAGTGGATTAAAATACAATTTCATGTACTATTTTATCTTTCGTTTCTAAATGATTTATTTGTACATTTTTAAAGGTATTGGAAAATAGGCTCAATGTGTAATCAGACTAAAGATACTCTGGAAGTAGCTTTTTAAAATTTAAAAGAAGGGGCGCTTGTTTTGATTTTTTCTGGTTGGTAGTCTTTTTCTGGAAAGTAATGTACAAAAATGTTTTAGCTAATTAGATGTAAATTATTTAGCTAGAAAATCAAAAGTTGTTGTATTGAAATAATAAGAATAGATGGAATGACGGGCACCAAAAAAAGCAGAGTGTTAGCAATTGTTCCTAGTGATCAATCTAGATTTCAGAAAGCAGAATTACTTAGATGGGTCATCCGCCTGCTCACACTGAGTGCTTAACGTTTCCCTTTGCACTTCATTTTGTCTGCAACTTGATGACGTTTACTTCATTTCTGAAACTATTTAACAGCTCCCCGTCCCTTGGGCTTTGCAGGACTGCTGGAAACAAATGTTCTAGATTTTAGTTACAGATTGGCAATGCTTTGAAACCTGGTCTAGGTTTCTTCACATAAGAATGTGAGTCTATAGGTGTTGGAAAAGTTCATAAAAGATAAAAATCGATACTTAATTTAAACAAGCACATTCTAGATAGAGACTTCTGGAAGCACAGGAGTGAACTTTAAAGAGTTGATCTCTTCTCTTTGCTTAGAGGTTGTAAAAAAATGTAAGAAGGATGGGTCCATTCTTTAAACAATGTATTAAATGCTTTAATGACTAAATATATCTCCAGCCTAAAGGAGTCGACTTTGTTTTTTTATTTTTATTTTTAGTATTATTATTATTTTCTTTTTGAGACAGGTTGCCCAGGCTGGAGTGCAGTGGCATAATCACAGCTCACTGCATCTTCGAACTCCTGGGCTCAAGGGATCCTTCTGCCTCAGCCTCCCAAGTAGCTGCAACAACAGGCATGTGGCACCACACTTGGCTAATTTTTTAGTTTTTTGTCTCACAATGTTGCCCAGGCTGGTCTCGAATTCTTGGCCTCAAGTGATCCTCCTGACTCAGCCTCCCAGAGGAGTGCTGGGATTACAGGCCTGAGCCACTGCCCCCAACTGAGTAGTCAACTTTAAAAGTCACCTGACTTGCCTAGAAGTAGAATCCATATGAAAAATCCAGCTCAGTAAGGAACCCATTGGTCAACCATGACTCAGAAAGTATGTCCTGCTGACTCAGCCCTGCGCTAGACACTGGGGGAAGAGCAGAGCTGATGGAAGATCGGCAAGGGCCCTGTCCTCCTGGAGCCTTCAACACTGCAGGGGAGATAAAACTAACACCCATGAAACAGCATCAACCAGTACAGCCAGTGTAGACAGTGAGGTGCTGGCCATGTGGAGCCAACAGAAGGGGTGAAGAGGGAGCTCAGGAATGACTTCACTGGGGAGATAGAACTTAATCTGGGTTTTGACAGAAAAGGCAGATTCCAGGAGACCGAGGGCAGAAGAAAGGGCATCCCAAGCAGGGGAATAAGGCTGGAGCCCTGGGGACTTGACTGCATGGTGGTCACACTTGCTGGGAAAAGCCGGGCTCTCCCCTCATGCATCACTCACACTCTACACCCAGGTGCGGGAGTCTCTTGCTTCCTCTGTGTTTGTGTTCTCTCTGTGTTGCACAGAAAAGGAGGTGCTCTTTGCACACATGTACACATGATAGCACATGAAATAACAAATGTACAAGCATGCACACACACAGTTATGTACATACATGTATGTAATTCCATGCCCCCATGGACACTTTCTACACCTGCACAAAGCTATGCAAATATACATGCATGATACCTGCATGTTCACACCCTCCTACTGATGGAAGAACTGTAGCCAATTGGGCAAATGAAAGCTGCCATCTGGACTAACTCAAACAGTCACATGGGTTTTGCTATAGGTTCATAATCTGCCCAGAGCTTTTGCTCAAAAACAAAGTCCCTAATTCCTGACTTCTGGGAACTAGACTTATCCAGCCACAGCTGTTGTTCTCCAGACACCCACAGCTGTCTTCTTAGCAGACCCTGTCTGGCCTACCAAACTGGCAAGATTACTTAGCAGTCCATGGAGAAAATTGAGATTTCATAATGAGAGGAGGGAGGGAGTGATGTTGTGATGATGATGATGATGATGATGATGATGACACCACCAACCATACCTTGAGCATTTACTATGAGTAATGAGCTGGATGCTTTGCAAGGAAGCATTAATCTATTATGTACAGCAACCCTATAAAGTCAGTATAATCATCCCCATTATGGTTCTTCCATGCAGATATTTTGCATGTATATTTGCATATCTTTGTGCATGTATAGAAAGTGCCCGTGGGTGCATGGACTTATATACACGTGCGTACATAACTGTGTTTGTATGTGCATACTTGTGCATTTATTATTTTATGTGTTAAGGAGGAAGAAACTGAGCTCAAAAAACCTAAGTAATATGAAATTAATGTCATGCCTAATGAATTAATGGTGTTGAGATTTGAACCCAAGTCTATGCAATTCTAAGCCTATAACTTTAGCTGCTACAGGAATGTGGGGATTTGGCACCTAGGTTGAATCTGAAAGAAGTCAAGGCTTTTATAGGAAGAAAACCTAGAGCAATAATGCCAACCAGAGTCTGACACTCTCCAGTACCGACTGTGCTGATCCAGATGTTTGGACGTCTCATGTCCGCTCCCTCATCCCCTCGCCCTGCACGCTTTCACTTAGGCAGAGCTTCTGCTTGGGAGCAACTCAGAGTCAAGTGCTCACTAGGCCTAATGACATACATCTTTGTCAGTATCAGGGCTTGGTGTGAATGGTTATCTTGTTAGATGACCATCTCCAATCCGTATCATTCAGGGTTACATAAGCTAAAGGGACTACCACCCCTGGCCAACACCCCCAGTCAAAGCCCTCCAATTTTCCTAATTTTCTCTTCACTGCAGACAGGCTGACTATGGAGATGAGACATGTCATCTAACTCAAATACAAAATATTTATCATGCAAATCAGGACCTGGTTCCTGGCTAACAAATTATCCCACCAAGACAATGACTATTTTTATGTTTTCTTAAACAGTCACTATTTCTTCCAGTTTTATAAATTTTCTAAATGTGTATACTTGCTTCATTATGATATGCCAATTCAAATTAATTTGTTTAATTTTTTTTCTCCAGAAAGCTATTAAAGAACCAGAGAGCTTAGCTGAAGCTGCAGATTAATCCAACATAAAAGAGAAAGCGATTTACATTCAAATGAGAGGAACCACAAAAATGTCTCAATTCCACTTTGTCCTAATGCTGAGCCTACATTCAACCACGTGATCTAAGCCTTGGTTCCCAAATCTGTAAAATAGAAACTCACAGATTATCACGAAAGATAAAGAGAAAGCGGCTCACTAAGCACCCAGCCCTGTGCCTGGCACCAAGTAGCTATAAGATCCATGTTAATTTGGTTCCCCTTCCCTCCATCAAGCAACACACGCCCCTCACAACTCACAGGGTGTCTTACTTCACACATAGTTACGTGGTTGCGTGACTGTGACTCAGGATGATGGAGAAGATACTAAAGCCAAGTGTGTGAGAAATCACAATGAGCCAGTGTCTGATGGACAACAGAAAATTCTTGGGCAACCTAGAAGGTTAGTTTCCTTCAGGCAATGTTACGATATGGCAATAACAGTCAAGAAAGAGAGGAAATGAATCTTACCCCGCACATTAAAGGGCTTACAACACTTTTTATAGGACTTACAGGTGAGTCAGGTCACGGAGGCCACGAAAGGCATTTCGTGAAATGGTTTCTATTTTGTTCCCTTCGATGAACCTAAGAAGAAAAGTGGTATCATTAAAATGAATTTTCTCTGCTTAGTATCTCTAAAGAATTATATTAGTATGCTTTCAGAATAAAATCTAAATGCATTCATGAATTATAAAAGTCCACCTCTGAAGACTAGATCAGCTGCACCAAATTCCACAGGAGAGCAGGGCGTGTGAGCAATAACACACGCGCATAAGTGTGTGTCCTACACGCCTTCCAGAAGCAGCATGGCAGTCTTCAAATTGTCAAGAGTTGACAACATGGGTAAAACATTTGGGGGTGGGGGGGAGAAGAAAACACTACACAAAGGCAAGAAATTCTCATATCTCCGCAAGACTGGAATGCTTCCAGATATTTTCCCTACTCAACCCCTCATACATTTCACAGTGCCTGGCTATTAATATTTTCGTTAATATCATTGTCCCTTGAAGAGAGTCCATTGTTTTACATCTTCATGTGAAAGTTTTTGCTGAAGGAGCATTCCATTAAGCTTGGCTGCTAGCAACCCTGAGTTTATCACGTCCTACACAGTGTGATCTTCAAGCAAACGGGCAACAGGCAGGGATACTCAAGATCTCTAAGCCACTAGGAAGCAGGAAGTATGACGAAGTTGAGTAGGGACTAAACTTCTTTCTCTGTACTAAGATGACATAGGGCTTACACATAGGATCTTGCAATAGTAACATTGGCCATGCTTTAAGGTCTTTGTGGGAAAGATATGATATGAATGTGTTTGACTATTCCCTAGAGCCACATAGAACTAGATTTTAGTTTATAGCATTGTGTTAAGTCAAATGTAAGAGAGTCTCTGAGGAGATGGTCCAAGGGAAAGGATTTGTAAAACAACAGCATCGGTGACATAGTTCTTAATTCTTGCACTAAGAACTTTCTGTTATCTGTTTAAAAAAAAAAAAAATCAAGCCTCTCTTCATTAAAAGACTTCTGAATAAACTGATAAGCTAACTTCCTCCCCAGTAACCTTGACAGTAAGACGAACTGCCTGTAAGAGAAAACTCACAGCTTCACACTGCTACTTCCATTGGTTGTTCATTTGCTTTGATAGACACTAGTTGGATTTAGCACTGCAGTTGTGCCGCACTTTCCATGTTACGTGTACTATCAGAGTATTATGAGAGCATACACATTCTGTATACTCTGGGGAAAAATTCCTCCGGAAACATCTTTCCTCAAGACACAAAACCAGCAGAGAGCTTTCTTATACCCAGGATGTGTCTAGAATTCCAATACCTACCTGTTGAACTCAGATAAGAAAGTGGAGACAAGGCTTTAAAAACCCCTCTGAATGCTAAGTAAGGAAATCCCATCTGATAGCAGGATTAACATTATTACAAAGTTACCAAAGACAAGGATGAAAGAACTTAAAGGAGAAAAAAGACATGAAAGTGAGAAAAAGCAGAAATCAGAATGAGGGCAAAGCTCATTGCTAGGAGAAAAAAAAAATACCGTATATCCAAAAAGGGAAAAATGACCTTTTTCTTTTAAGATGAAAAGAAAATAAAATTAGACCCTCAGCAGCAACTCACAGGAGATACTGCAAAGGCAATGCAGGACAGAGGAATGAAAAACATGAAGTTGGACCCCCCAATAGGGAGACTTTATTTAAAAATAACTAACTCTCAGAACCCTTCAGCTCTATTTCTGGCTGATCAGCAAATCCATGCTTAGTTATGAGAGGTGAAAATATACAACACAATTTCCAATTGTGCTTACTATACGACAAATTAAATGTCAGCAGAGAATGAACGAATCTCTCTCCTTCTTTGTTTCCTTTCCCCCTCTTTGTCTCCAACCTCCTTCTGTCCCAGCTTGTTTATAAGCAAGTAACAATAAAAGGTCAGCGCTGAAAAGAGAATGGGGTTTTCTCCATTTTCTCCACCCCAAAACCCTCGCAGAGATGCTGTTCCAGCACAGAAAGCAGTTCAGCAATTCTACTGAGATACTGAATGCTCAGCAAGTAGACAAAGAACAAAACTTACAGGTATTCAAGATGAAAAAGTCCAGCAAAAGCATCATCCCGGATGACCGTGAATGAGTTAGAATTCAGCAATCTGAAAATAAGGGACAGGTTTCAATGCAGAGGTGTAAAACTTCAGTCACATGGTCAAGCCATTGCTATTTCTTTTGCTATGTTCTGATCTGGGGGCAAACATGGGCTCTTGTCAGCCTAAGAACAACCCATTAGGTCCACAACCTGACTCTCGCAGAATGCTGATGGACACAATGGCAAGAAGGTCCCTTTTGGCCAGATTTTTTGGTCATCCGGAATCCTCTACCCATTCTCCTCTATGGGTCTCAGTTAACATGGCCTAATAGCTATTATTTTAACACATTCTAATATTCACATTCTAATATTTAACACATTCTAATAAACAGCCAGTGAATGTTTATGATGCACAAACAATCATAGAATTAGAGATCTAAAAGGATCTAAACTAATTTTATTTTTAGAGAAATTTAGGCCCAGAGAAGTTAAATCAATTGACGAAAGTCACACAGCTAAGACAAAAAAAAAAATCCTTTCTACTACATTATACATTCCCATGAGAAATAATAAAAAAGTTTTTTCAAAAAACCTTCCTTCAGAAGACTCTTTATCACTACATAGTTCTTTATTTGAGTCACCACTCAAGGTTATGTGGCAAGAAAAAAAAAAAAACCTAAAACTGTATTTCTATCATACAGAAAGTATATTTTAATAACACTGCAATTTCTAAGAGAATTCAGATTTTGAAATGTTAAGTATAATGTTATAAGTAGGCACATAACATTTCAAGAACAAAAATATCAAGAGTAAGTTTAGGTTGAATAGTTATCTCCTACACTCCACTTCTCCATATTTTCCTGTAGCCCATTGCTTCTTTAAATTTCAATCTCACCATAAATTTAAGAAACCAATATAGATAAAGAGAATGAGGACGTACTTATGACTTTGCCTGTCACTGACCTGCCTTTGAAAGCTGCCTTTTGGACATTTCCTTTCATCGGCAAACATTAATGGACCTGGGGTACAGGGTACGAATGGGCACTTAGCACAGTGACGCGTGCATTGCTCGCTGAGACAAGTCAGCGCCGGGAGTAGTGTGAATGTGGGCCTTGGGCCCTGGGTTAGAATCCTGCTCTGTGACTTGGGGCAAGTTACTTAACTTCTCTGAGCTTCAGTTTCCTCATGTGTCAAACAGAAAAATAAGAATACTGTCCTCACAGGGATAACATGATGATGAAATAAAACTATGCACATAAATGCACAGTATGCTGCCTGTTTAAGTGCTCAGTAATCTAGAAATACTCCTATTTCCAGAGTCACATTAAGATTTTAAAATGTGAGTTTTCTTTTAAAGTGAGGTGTTTGGGAAACAGTTCGTTAAGGTGATGTTCCAGTCATGATTCAATGTACTCATCCCCCCTGTTGCTGGATCTGGGTGTTGGGATCGACAATAAAGTCCTTGAGGAAAACATGTACCAAACTAAGGAAAGAAAACTGAGCAAGGAGCTTTGGGACTTCGTTGGGAACACCACAGGGCAAATTAACACCAAGAGCCATCTACGGTTTCCTCGTGGAGCTGGGGTGTTTTAGGAATGACTGATACCGGAGAGGCAGAGATAGCCCATCTGCTCCTCAGTGACCCCCATTTCGTAGAGAGAACGCCCCATACTCACAGCAGCTGCAGGGAAGGCAGATGGGAAAACATTCGGTCTTTGATTTCTGAAAATGTTCCATTTACCAGGCTCCTAAGGGCAAAAGAGGGACAAAAGGAGGCCTAGGTTTCTTTCAGGAAGTGCCAGCCAGGGTGGGAAATCGGCCTCATCTTCCACCTGTATTTCAAACTCTTCCTTTCAGGAGCGAGTCTTGACACAGCTGGCCAGGGGCTGGCCAGGGGCTGGCCAGGGGCTTCCCAGGGGCAGGGACGATTTGTCAATGCATTGGATCAATATGAAAACTAGTCTGAATTCCAGAAACCTTCGCAATCAGCTCCTTTCACAGACGTTATCTCAGTCAGTGCAAATCAATCCCCTCACTTCCTTTCTTAACTACGGGAGGCCCCCTCTGAAAATGGATAATCGCTTCACCTCTGCCCATGATTCTGTTTGTGTAGACACAGCGTTAATGTTGGCCGACGGAACTCCGGGGGAGCATTAAGCATTCCCCTCGGGAGCACGTCTCTGAAAGACACTCAGAGCACTTGTGATTAAATGCACTGTGAAAGCCTTGGGGGAAAACTCAGAGACACCTGAACTCGGCTGTGCGGCTGGAGGCAGTGCCATCTGCCAGATAAAATGGTCAACAGGGGCAAGGGCTTGGCTCGGTTTCTGCCCCCACATACCCTGTCCTTTCTGGCCACAGTAGGGCCTCCATACATGATTTCAGAACTATTTTCAGCTAACATGCAGATCAATTAAGCAGCTGCCGGTCTGAAGGATTTAATAAGGGGAATTCTAATTTCTGGAATCCTCCACGACATCCGATTTGACAATATTAGGAACTAGAAAGGTCCTCTGTTCCCACCAGCCAAACTCTCTTGACTTCTTATAAATGCAAACGGGAACCCCCTCCCTCCTGGGTTCAGGCCCCTACAATTTGTCTTGGGTGGGAGGCAAGCGAATAGCGGACACCAGAAAGTACCCTGAGCACAAACGTCACCCCTGGGATTCCCTGCCTCTACAGTTGAGTGGGCGGCAGGGCACTTCCGCCTGAAACAAGGGAGTGGTCTAAGCAGGAAACATGTTCTAGCAGCAAAGATACAGCCCAATAGCCCCTTCCACAGCTATTACCAGAGCTAGTGGCTGTTGAGAGCAAGGTGACAGCATCTCTTGGCGGGTGGATAAGTCATGTTAAGCCATGTTCCTGTCAGTTCCTCCAGTGCTGGAAAAGCAGCCAGTATAACTGTGTGGTGGCCGAAGGGGGCAAGAAGTCCTCCTGAACTCAGGGCAAGAAGTCAGGCTGACTTCCAGCACTTGGCCACTGACTGGGCGTCCCACATGCCCCCAAGGCTCTGCCAAGCCCTCTGTGCCACCCCCCCCCTTCCAGGCCACATGGGACACCCCCTGTGCTTCTGGAAGCTGGATGCCTTGACCCAGGCTCTTTCCGACCTGCAGTGTGGGGGAGTCAGGAGAAGGCCACCGCGGAGACCTGCCCCAGACCTGAGGTGGGGCAGTGCGGCCTCAGCCCCTCCTGGTGGGCACGCACTCCGGTCCCGGTCAGCTGCTTGTATACACGCCCCTACACACTCACCCCTTGGCCCGCAAACACACACACACGGCCCCTCTCAAACTTTAATGCACCCCAGGATCGCCCGGGGACGCCAAACGCGACTTCAGGGCTCCACTCCGAAGACTCCACTTCAGCGCCGGCCGGATTCTGCATTAGCACAAGCTCCCCCAGGTGAGTCTGATGCAGGTGGCCCGCGGGCCACACTCTGAGAAACACTGCCACGGGGACCGGTCTGGGCTCCCGGACGCTGGGGCTCGGGTGCTCACCACCCTAGCCGAGGCCAGCACTCCTCCCACGTCCCGTAGCGCGCCCCCACCCAAACGCAGAGAAGCGGGCTGGGGAGTGGGTCGGGGTCGCGCTGCCCCAGAGCCACAGGCAACTCCCGGGCGGCGGCGGCAGCGGGGCGGGGCAGGGTGGGGGCTGGAGGGGTCCCACTCACAGGGAGCTGATGTCGCCAGGCACGATCCTGGGCACCCAGGACGAGCCCACGCAGATGATGGACTCCTTGGTACAGCTGCAAGTGGCGGGGCAGCGCGCCAGCCGCCTCACCTGCGCGCTCGGCGGGATCAGGCACGCGGCGCCCAGCAGCAGCAGCAGCAGCAGCAGCAGCGGCCGCCCCAGCGCCCCGCGGCCGCCGCCTCTCCGCAGCTCCATGCCCGGTCCCCGGTGCCCGGTCCCCGCCCCGGCCCCGACCCCGCCGCCGCGCCGCGCGCTCGGACCCCGCGCGGTCGCAGACGCAGGCGCCGCTCGCTGCTCCGCCGCCGCCGCTGCTGGCGAGGACTAGGGCGCCGCGGGTGTGGGAGGCCGAGCCGCAGCCGAGCAGCATGCTGGCCGCCACCCCCACTCGGCGCCCCCCCACCCGAGCCCGGGCTGCTCGGCCGCCGCCGCCGCTGCGCCCGCCGCACTCGCGCCCGCCTGACATCAACACCCGCGCCCGCAGCCCGGCTCTGGCCAATGGAGGCGGCGCCGCCCGGCCCCCGCCCCGCCCTCCGGGGAGCTGCGGGACCCGGAAAAGTTGGGTGACCTTGGGGGCGGGGCCGACCTGGACCGAACCCCCTGGGGGGCCTGGCTGAGCGGCGGCAGATCAGGGGCCCGCAGTCCTTCCAGGGGCCCGAAATAATCCGGGGGAGGCACTGGGCTCCTGTAGCGGGGCCAAAACGACAGGCAAAAATAAATCAATAAAGTAGGAGCAGGGAGAACTGGCCTGATCACGGGGGAGGGAATCTGTCCTGGGTGCTATGAAGAGGACAGACTTGTGAGCAGACTTTATTCATTTTGAAAATGAATGAAGTGCATGCGCCAGTCCCGGGGGCGGGGGTGGCGGGGGGAAATTCAGCAGAGATGGCTTTACTTGTCTTCTGAGTGGGGCAGTGGGATCTGGCCGCCTTCCCACGGCACCCGGGGGGTTGCTGAAGCCAGCCACCCCACCCTGCAGAAGGAACACGGGACAGCAAAGCCGCTGCAGCCTTGCACCTTGCATGCCCGGCCACTCTGGGCCCTGCCTACTGTCTGCTAAAGCGCTGGAAAGCTGCTCGCTGGCCACCCCACCAGCCCCAGTTAGACGACAAGGACTACAAACTGTTAGTAGAGACTGAGGGCATGACATATTCTCACCACTGTAGTTCTAAACTTCTCCTAACCTTTCGAGGCAGGTGCTACTGGTATCCTTCATTTACTGATGAGGAAACCGAAGCCCAGAAAGCCCCGGTGGCCGGTTGGTGGTGCAGTGGGAAGCGGCTGGCAGGATGGGGATTAGCCCAGGGGGGCAGTTGGTAGCTGGGCCCCGATGAGCCCCTCTTCTACCTGTGAGTGTGATGTGATGAGTTGGAGTGTTACCACGAGGGAGTGTGAAGCTGGGGAAATCAAAGAAAATGTCCAAAGCAGACCCAGAATAATGGCTAATAGCCCAAACTGCCCGGAGTTGGGGATCAAACGAACCATGGTCAGGCTACAAACCAAGGAAAACCGTTTTATACATTAAGATCCACCCAGAAAAGTCAGTGCCCAGTGCGAAAAGTTAACACTGTGGGGATCGTCAACACAATCGCTTCTTCAGCAATCATTTTTAGCGCTCTTCAATATGAGGAGAGTAACCTGATGTAAGCAAAATATCAGGCTGGCTGCTACGGGAAGAGACAAAGGAACATGCCCTGTCCTCGGGGAGTGTGAAGTCTCCCCGGGCAGATAACCCTAAAGGAGTAACTCCAAAGGCTACACAGGGTCACAGACTGACCAAAAAAGGTTCAGAAATTGAAAGCGAGCTTGTTACAGGCAACTGCATGGAGGGAGTTAGACATTCATTGCAGGTCACCATTAATCTAGCACTTCCCATCGATGCAAGCCAATCTGAAATTATCACCATTTAATTCTCACATCTACCCTGAGGATTGGATCTTCCCATTTTGTGGATGGGAAAATTGAGCTCAGAGATGTTTTTCTCTTGCCCAAGGTCATGCAGGACACAGCAAGGAGGATCATACTCCGGGACTGGCTGCCGGGTCTAACACTTGCTTCTGTGTGGACATGCATCCAGAAATGCTCTACTCAGCAAGGAACAGTCCTAGGGGCTGAGGACACAGACCACAGTCTGGGGAGGGAATGGATGTGTGTGTAGCACGCCAGGAAAATGTCCGCCTTAAAAGAGATGGGCTACAGAGCAGAGGGGCTGAGGCTTCTCAGACGCAGTGCTCCCTGCTGACCCAGGAAAAAGAAATCTGTTTCTCATCTCTGAGTGAGAGGGTTGAGTAGGTTGACCCTGGCCCCAGGACCAGACACATATGGGTTTGCATCCCAGCCTGCTTCTTGCTACTGTGTAATCATGAGCAAGCTGTGCTCCTCTAAGCCTCAAATTTCCCCGCCTGTAAATGGAAGACCGTTGTATCCACCTTTTGAGGTTAAATGTGATCAAGAACATAAAGCACAGGAGGCACTGGGTGTTTGACCAGAGTTCTACATGACCTGGTGAGTCTTAGGTAAACCCTGGGGTTGTAGGGACGTGAGGGGGAGGGCTGCGAAGGGACATGGGTTTTGCTGACCTCTGGGCCTTCATTGAATCAAGGTCAGGGACACAGTATAGCACAGTGTTTTCAGTTAGAGCTGATACAGGGGACACGTGGCCATGTCTGGAGATATTTGGGGTTGCCACAGTGGGGCGAGTGCTACTTGCATCTACTGGGTAGAAGCCAGGGGTACTGCTGAACATCCTGCAGTGCACAGCAAAGAATGATCCAGCCCAAAATGTCACTAGAGCCAAGGCTGAGAGAGCCTGGCTTGCTGTCCTGGAAAGGCTCTTGGCATGAGGAATTCCAGAGATGCAGATTCTAGGCCATGCCTCACCACTCACAAACACGCCTTCTTGGTCATGTCACTCTTGTCTCCAGCTTCTATTTTTTCCATCCATAAAATGGAAGTAAAGAGCCCTTTCTCTCTCTTTCCTAAATAAATGTGACACATCATCCTTTTTACTCCCCCTTCCTCACCTTCCCCAGGCTAGGGCTGGCTGCAGCCCATCCTCTCCAACCTGAAAGCTGAAAAGTTCCTGACAGGCACGGTGCAGAGGGAAGACTTGAGTAGCGTAGCTGGCAGAGTTGGTATTTGTTTCGGCTCTGCTGGAGACACTAAGTAAGTGAGTGCTTGTAAATTATAAGGCGCAGTTTATAAATTAAGATATAAAAATGGAAATGCAGATTACTTTGGTTTGTCTCCAAGATCTTCAGCAGTTGAAAAAAAAAACTTAATAGACAATCAGAGAGACACAATCTGTTTCAGGAAATAGCAACGGTTTTTGAAAACATAAAAATCCTTGTTCAGATGTACACTTACTAGAGCTGTGTCTTCATGACACGAACGGCACATATTCCTACAGCTGCTGAAACAATGCAGGCTGGAGTGGCTTTCTTTAAAGTCTAACAGCGGTTCTACCATAGATGATTATACGTGTCAGCAGCTCAAAAATAGTGTCCATTTATGCCCCCTCGCATTCAACTACTTGTCAGTTCATTAGCCAACATGGACTGAGCACCTACTATGTGCTGGGCATTGAAAATAAAGCAATGGCTCAGGCATGGTCCCCACGTTCATTGCAGACAGACATTAAATTGAAAGAATGAGCAATAAGTATGCAGTTGCAAATTATGAGAGAGCCTATGAAGGAAGAGGGGAGACCTAATCGAGGTGGTGAAAGCCTGTCCGAGGACTTAGCCGAGATCCTAGGATGGGAAGCCGCAGGCAGAAGGCACAGCGTGGGCAAAGGCGCCAGGACCAGAGAGAGATGAGTGTGTGGACAGACCTGAGCAGAGGGCAGTGTGGCCAACGCTTGGGAATGAGGGAGACAGAGAGAGGAAATGAGGTCTGCGAGGTGGGCAGGAGCTAAATTGGGCAGAACCTTATAGGCCAAGGCAATGAGCCTGTATGTCACTCTAAATGCCAGAGGAAGCCATTGCAGGGCTTTAACCAGAGAAGCAGCATGATGTCATTTCTACTTCAGAACACTTATTTCTGACTGCTGAGTAGAGAATGGGAAGTGGTCCCATTGAACTAGTCCCAGTGAGAGATGGTGGCTGCCAGGACTTGTCAGGTGGCCGAGAAGATGGAGAAGAGTGCATGTGGATCCAAGGTATAATATGTCTTAAAAGGAGGATCGACAACACTTGCTGTTGGGTTGGATTTAGGAGGAAAGTTGAAAGAAATGGCAAGAATGCCTCCAAGGTTTTAGCTAGAGCCAGGGGGTGGATGGAGGTGCCATTGCTTAAGATGAGAAAGCCTGGAAGAGGAGAGGGTTTGGCTGGGAGACAGGTATCAAGAGTTTGGAGTTTGAAATGTCATTAAGCATCCACATGCAGATGTTGGGTCAGCAGCTGGAAGATCCATCAGGATGGTAAGAGGGAGATAAGGGGTGGTTAATGGGAAATCTTCATACTATAGGTGAAACCTTGATTCTTTCTCAGTAATATATTGGTGGATAAGCCCTCAGTAAGCCCTCAGTAATATATTGGTGGATCAAGTGAATGAATGAGCAACATTTCAGAAGTATAGACATTAGGGAGAAAACATCTCTTAGGTACGATGAGAAAGGAACACCGAAATCTCACAGACGAATGCTACTCTAAGAATACTGCAGTTTAGGGATCTATTTTTAGACCCAAAACAATCTTCAAATCATAAACCAAACTGTGAATCTTGCAAGAATCTCAGAGACCTCATCGTGCTGATAATCCTCCTCCTCCTACTCCTCCATTTCCAACCAAACTCCATCTCCAGCCCCTACCTGGTCTTCTTGCCAGAACCATAAGCTTTGGACCTTCACTAATGTCTAACAGAACCAGAACCTTCACTAATGTCCAACACTTTTGACTCTGATGTTTGCAGTAACAACCTCAAAGGCATTTGGTTTGAGCAGATACAAACTGGATTCCATGGCAAGGGGGAAGGAGAGGTCTTGCCCATTTGTTTTTTTATCAAAGAGTTTGCCAATCCCTCTCGGACTGCATTGCCTCAATGTGCTATTCTTGTGGTTGGCTGCGGATCAAATGTAGATGCCGTTTCTGGCCTCCCATCACTTGCTTTCTTCATAAGCTCAGTGGGTGTCACAAGTCTGGAACCCATTCCGAAGCTGCCCCTGATTGGCCTCTGGAGTTCCATCACGTTCTTGAAGGGTCGCCTGTGGATATCTTGCTCAGTTTCCTAAATTAGCCGAAAGACACTTAGGACTCTGCCCTTGGTTTCTAGTGGCCTTTGTCACCTCCTCCCCACCA